GGGGGGCGTGTCAAGGGTCAAGAGAGAATGAGTTGGTTGCTAGGATTAGTGAGTTGCTATGATGGGGAGGCTTTGGGCTGACTTGGGCGGCTTCCTTGCTGCACAGCTGACTCACCTGCTCTGGACCTGCTCTGGCCTGTCTGGCTGCCAGCGTTCCCAGCCCAGCAGACCTTGGCCTATATCCTGTGGTCACTCCTCCAGGAGCCCTGGAGCCCAGGGGCTCAGGCTGGGAGAGAAGAAGCAAAGCAGCCTCAGGCCGGTTATGGGCTGTGCTGACACCTGGGCAGACCCGGGGCCAGTCACAGGGCCTTCCCAGCGCACAGGACACAACCACACTTCACTGACACCTCAAAAGAGCTCCTTTGTAAGACTGTAGTCGGTGTCTACGTCACAGATGAGGAAATCGAACTTTGGTCAGGGTAACGTGCGCAAGGCCACCAGTGAGAAAGCCGCAGGGCCAGGACTCAAATGACCCTCTTTGAGGCTATGTACGTGACTGGGGAGTTGTTCTAGATTAATTCCTTTATTTGTTCACTCGTGATTCAACAAATATTTACTGAGCATTTACTATGTGCCAGGTTACCGCACCGGGAGCGGATGAGACCCAGTCTCTGCCTCTGGACCCTTCCAAGGGCCCTTTCCCAGGGCTGGGAATGGCCCCTCACTGATTCTGCTATGTGCCAGGAGCACACCTAAATTAGCTCATTTCATCCTCATAGCAGTCTGGAGAGACAGAGGTTGTTCGCTTCATTTTACAGGTAAGGATCGGAAGAGGATCGGAAAAGAAAATGGATTGCCCAAGGCTGTACGGGTGGGAAAGGGTAGATAGAGCCTGTGCGTAGATGACCTGGGGTGTGCGTTCTGTGTGTGCTCCCCGGGCCTGACACTTCTGATCGCCACTGGTGCAGGGTGGACACTCTTGCCAGCCATGGCCATGTGCCCGCCTGGCCTGGGGCCTGAGAGCCCAGCTCACAGCTCTGCTAGGGGTCTGAACTTCCTATTTAAATTCTCTGTTGGCATGTCAGAAGGGTACCGGGTAAAAGGAGACACAGTGTCCCGGTCCTCCAGTTCCACCACAGACTGGGTACAGGACCCCAGGCAAGTCCTATTTCCCTCTGGCTTCCGTCCTGTCATCATCAACCGGGGTTGTTTCTGCTAAGCCTCAGCCTAAGACCACTGGGAGGATCAAAGATAATCTTGAGAGATGATATTAGATATAGCATGACCAAAAGACACTGGTGGGGGATAAAGGAAGAGGAGGGAAGCGAGCTGACCATGCCCTGTTGGGGACATACACCCTCAACTCCTTTCTTTACCTAGCACTTCATACACACACTTCAATAATGAGTTTGGAATTCTCCTCCTCCAGGAAGCCTTCCCTGACCTACCCACCTACGGCTGGGTCAGAGGCCTCCTTCTCTCATAGGCCTGGCCACACTGTGTGGTCATTGTTTCTCCCACTAGACTCCCAGGACCAGGACCAGGCATCCTACAGAGTGTCTGCCCCGAGTGGGTGTCTGGGGAATGGGGGACAGACAGGCCAGGCCTCCATCCCTGCGAGCCTTCCCTCCACACTCTGGCTCTCCTTGCTGGTTCCCACTTTCTCCTTCCCTCCCTGAAATGGAGAAGGAACCCGGATGCCCTCTTTGCCCAAGCCGAGCCCTGCCTGTGGGCCCCGGTGTTGCCATGAGCATCTAACAGTTAAGAGGCCTTTGGGAGCCTCGCTCTACCAGGCTCGGTGCCGCGCTCTGGGATAAAGCAAGGAATCAGAAACGGTTCCTCAACAAATGACTCTAAGTCCCCATCAAAAGGAATCCATATTAACCACCATAAGGGGCCTTTAGATCTGCGGGGCTCAGCGAAGGATCCCCCGCAAGGTGGCGGAGAAACCATGCAGAGCGGAAGGAGACAGGCAGGGGGCGCCACGTGGCCGCAGCGCGCGCACACTTCTCCGGGAATCACAGGTCACAAGGCGGGGTTGCCGCGGCAGCGGTGGCCGCCAGCGTCCGCGGGAGGGGTCCCGCGGCGGGAGTCCCGGCCAGCACCTCGCCTGGGGGCGCCCGAGCCATGGGCACCAAGTGGTTCAGCGGGGCACCCTTCGGGGTGCAGAGCCACAGGTGGGGCCCTTCGGGGCGCGGCTGGAGCCTGGGGGAGGAGGGAGGGACAGGAGAGACTGGCAGCGTGGGGTGGGGGTGGGGGGCGACTTTCTCTCCCCGTCACACCTGCCGCGCTTCTCTGCCCAGAGCTCTTTTCACCAACTTCAAGTGATTTGAAGGCGTTCCAAGAACACCTCCTATGGGCCGGGCTCAGAGAGGCCAGGCGGCCCGGCCGGGGAGGAGGTCGCTCAGCGTAAGGGTGGTGGGCAGGATTTCAGCCCAGGTGTCTTTCATTCACACCTCTACGTGACTTCCATGTGCCACCTACTCCGTGCCAGGCACAGCTCTAGCATCTGGGGACACAACAGAGAACAGCGAAACTCTGTACTCAGGAGTTGGCATTCTTGTGGGGAGGGGTGGTTGGAGTGGGTCATAAACCAAAAAAGAAACCTATATAAAATGCTGGGTCGTGGTAAGGGCTGTGGAGAAGAAGCCAGCTGGGAGGGGGAGCCGGCCAGTGCTGGAGGGTGGGGTGGGGGCTGTGATGATAAGGTGACTTTTGAGGAAAGTCTTCCAGCAGAAAGGAGGGGACTAGGCAAGGGTGGAGAGAGAAGCAGGAAGCCCGGAGACCCCGTGGTGGCCGCAGTCCTGCTCCTGCTCCACAGGCCAGCTCCTCTGGGAAGCCAACAGCCCCCTGCGCCCCCAGAACTGGCCACACCAGGACCGGGGGCCAGGCCTTGAGCTCTCTCTCGGGGTCTCTGTCCCTCCCTAGGGTTGTTTTTTTTTTTAAGTTTATTTTATTTATTTTGAGAGAGAGAGGGAGGGGCAGAGAGAGAAAACTCCAAGCAGGCCCCGCGCTTTCAGCCCAGAGCCTGACCCGGGGCTTTATCCCACACACGGTGAGATCATAACCTGAGCGGAAATCAAGAGTCGGAAGCTTAAGCGACTGAGCCACCCGGGTGCCCCCCTCCCTAGGTTTGATGTCTCCGCCGTCTACCCCGATCAGAAGAAACTCAGCACCTTCACCGAGGCCCCCTACTCCAGGCTTCATTCTGTGCAAATGGTGAGGTTGCGCGCCCACGTGGCTTCTCTGACACTCCCCCTGCCCCTCCAAGCCCCTCACCACGGAGGAGGAGCTGAGCTGTGTCAGGGCCGTGCCTGACGCCTCTCCAAGCCCTCAGTCTGGAGCACAGAGCTTGGCTCAGAGCTGGGACCTCAGATGTGTTGATAAATGCAGGGCTGTCGTGAGAACAGCGTGGGTTGGGGTGATGGAGACCCGGGTGCCATTTCTTCCCTGGCACCAACCAGCTGTGAGCTCCAAAGGAGGTGCCACCCCTAAGTGTAAGGGGACCAATGACAGAGGATGTTGTGTTTGTACCTCGAGTGCCACGCCCCTCAGTGCCAGGTTTGAGACGGGGGAGCGGCGGGCACAGCCGGGTCCTGCCTGTCTACTCCCCCAGTCGGTGAGGAGGACTCACTCTGTGGGTAGACTGGTATGACTGTGCTCTGACTCAGTCCCACATAGGACCTGGAACCTATGGCTACCAGGAGACCTGCTTCAGCAAGAAGAAACTCAGCAAGGAGGTGGGCACAGGCTGGGCCAGGACCCAGGAAGCCACCCGGCTGACCCAGCTGCCCCACTTCCAGTACGAGGCCATCATAAAAGAGAAGCGGTTGCAGGTGAGTCCTCCCAGGCAGCGCTCATCCTGGACGGAGTGCCGCCCTCCTCCAGACTCCCTCCTGCGTGGATGTCCCCATGGTTCAAGTTGTCACCTTCTGCCTTCTTCTCTTGGGGCAGAAGGAGAAGCTGGGGCCTGGCTCCTACAACCTCAAAGACTTCTTAGAACAGCTGCAGCAGAAACCGTGCAGCACCCGGGGGCTGCTCAGCTCGGGGGAGACCCGCTTCCGTGGCCTCGTTGGGGTAGGTGTCCTCGTGTACTGGGGATGAGCCCTCCCGCCCTCAGCTCTGGCTGCAGAGCATGTAGCCTGGATGGTGCTGGAAGCGCCCCTCCTGTACTGCCTCCTTGCCAGGCTCGGCCAGGCTCTCCTCGGGGTCCCCCAAACCCCTCTGCTTTCTGCTACCACAGCCTCGAGCCCAGGGGCTGTCATATTTCCTGCGTCTGTCTCCCCCACCAGCCGAGGAGCTCCCTGCTGTCAGGGATGGGTCTGGTTCATCTCTGAGTCCCCAGGACAGAGTCCAGCATACATTGGGTGCTCCACAAACTCATCCATCTAGCCAGCAAATGCTGAGTGAGCACCCACTAAGTGCCATGCACTGTTCTCGGGCCTGGGGATCAAGCGGCGAGGAAGACAAGCCCCTGACCTCCTGGAGCTGGTGCCCTAGTGGAAGAAATGACAGTACAGAGAAGCAAGTCATAGATGATCGGGGCCATGAGGAAAAATGAGACAAGGAAGGGATACCGACAGAGTGATGGAAGTGTAATTTCTGGGGTGGTCCCGGAAGACCTCTGGGGGGAGGTGACATTTGAGCAAAACGCGCAGGAGGTGAGCAACAGAAACTCACAGTAGCTGCAGGAGAGCGTTCCAGGCGGCAGGAACAGCAGGCGTAGGCCCTGAATTGGGCCGGCAGGCAGGAGGCCGGTGTGGCTGGAGGTTGGTGGGGGGGGGGGGGGGGTGAGGGCGGAAGGCGGAAGGTGGAGAGATGGCAGAGGGGTGAGGGCCAGAGGGCAGGACCGGGAGGCAAGGTGGGGGCTACGGGATTGATTCCACTGGGAGGATAGTGGAGGGTTTTGACAAGGGAAGGGCTTGATTTATGTTTTCAGAGGAGCACCCTGCTCGTAGGGGTGAGGGGCGGAGGCATCCAGATGGGAGGTGATGGCGGTGAGGGGTAGGGTGGCATCCGGGTGGGTCGGGATGATCGTCCCGTCGAGTGGGTTTCAAGCTCAGCAAGGGAGAAGGCAGAAGTCAGACCGTCTGGAGCGAGCACTGTGGTTGGAGTGCCCCTCCTCCCTGCCCTGGTGCTCTCCCCGGCCGGATGCTCTTGTCTTTCTTCCAGCTCCTCAAATGGGCCAAGCTCTTTCAACCGGGGCTTTCCTCCTGCCATTCCCTCTGCCGGAAATGCCCTTCTTCTCCCTCTCCCCCTCCCCCAGCGGCCCCTTGGTCTAAGGGACTCCTCCTCAGCCCTCAGCTGTCAGCTGAGAAGCCTGCCTGACCCCCACTAGGTGACAGACATCTCCCTTTCCCAGGAGTCCTGATGGTGCTTGTGTTTAGTGTTTCTTCCCCACTGGACATCTGCCGGGGTGGCTCACTGCAGGATTCCCAATTCTTAGCAGTGCCTGGCACACAGTGGGCGCACAGTCAGTATTTGTGGACTCAATCAGGGCACGCGCGCCTACTAAGTCCTTGGTGTTCCCAAACATCCTGTTTGCAGCCACTCCGGATGAGGTGCTGGAGGCTCAGAGAGGATGAGCATTTTGCCTCAAGCTGCACAGCTGGGAAGCAGGCAGTGTCCAACCCCAGAGCCTGGCCGTTTCTTCTGCAACTTAACCACCGTGAAGCCTGGAGATTACTCTTTGCGTCTTTAGGTGCAGAAGCTGTTAACTGCAGTATAGGGAGAGGGGATGCCTGGAGGCATTTAAAACTGAGTCATTACCTTCAAATCTAAAGTAATAATAGCTGACGCTTAACACCGCACTTGCGATGTGCCAGGCGCTGTCCTGAGCACTCGAGTGTACTGATTCATTTAATCCTCACCACAACCCCCCCCCCCCACCTCACCTCGTGAGGTAGGCACTAGCATTATCTCACTTTACAGATGAGAAAACTGGAGCACAGAGAGGTTGAGTAACTGCCCAAGGTCGCAGAGCTTCCCAGTGGCACAAGCAGGATTTGAATCTAAGGGGTGCACACAAAGCCCGTGCGGTTTACACATAGGTTGGCTCCCTTGGACTTTGTTCCTTGACTGTCCCTGGAGGACAGGGTCTAATAGCACCCAGCCCAGATGGTGGCGGAGGAACAAATCTGATGCTTCCTTCCTGTGTCCCCAGCCCCCCTGCACTGGGGCATCTGTGAGTGTTGGCTGAGCAGGGGGAAGGTTCCACGGCCTGACCCTTCCTTCCAGCTGGCTCTTCGTGCACTTTGTTCCCATTGCTGCTCCATCAGGCCCTGCAGGATTTCTCCGAGCCACTGTCCTGGGCTCAGGCTAGACAGTGAGTTCAAGGTGTGCCACTGCCCCAGTGGGTGCAGAAGGCAATCCCGGGGCAGCTCATGTCCAAGGCCTGCTTTTTCAGCTGTCTTCTTGCTGTGAGACCTGGGCTGGGAACCTGATGGCCTCCTCTGTCCTCTGGTCCCTCTAGCTGTCCCCCCACCCCTACAGGTCTACAAACGCTACCTGTGTAGGATGCTGACCTCTCCACTGGGGCCTTCTCCAGTGTCATTGCCAAAGCTGTGGGTACCTGCTTTGGAGGCCCCATGAATCTTTCCCCAGAAAGGATGGGGCTGTCAAGCCCCAACACAGCAAAGGCAATGCTTCCTCCTCTGGTTTCTGAATCTTGTCCACCTCTGGCACTGGGTGATGCCACCACCCCCTCCCTCAGCACACTGTCCCCTCTCTTGGCTCTGGGGACACTAGGTCTGCAGCTCTGGAGTTCCTCTGCCAGCCTCCTTCATGGCTCTTGTCCCCTCGCTGCCACCCTGCCCCCCCTCTCCCCCACATCAGAATCTCCCCCAGCCCTACTGTTCTCCAGCAATGGCACCAGCAGCTGCCAGAGTCAGAAACCTAGCAGATCCTTTTCCCCACAGTCACCAGGGTCTGTGCTTTTGCCTCCTGTCCTCCTCCTGTCCTCCTCCTTCCATCCCCACTGCCTCCACCCTGGCCCAGGCCACTGTCCCTTCTCCACCCAGGAGCAGCCTCTTGACCGATTTCCTGGTCCCCTACCATTGCCAGAATGGTCTTCTGAAGGACCCTCGTGTGTCAGAACCAGGTCTGAATGCCTCCTAATGTCTTCAAGGTCCTCCCCACCTTCTTCACAGTGGCTACTGTGTCGGAACCGGCACTTCTAAGGTCACTTCTGAGGTGTACCCAGGCTCATGGCCCTCCCGCCCCTGGGAAACAGCTCAGAAAAGAGCCTGGATTTTGCAGTTGGAACCCTAGCGGCTGCTTCTTTCCAGAGGTAGGACCTTGGACTCGAGGTCTGACTCTCTGAAACTCTGTTTCTCCATCTGTTAGTTGCAGATGGTGCTGATTTGATCTCACTGAGTCACCTCCAGAACCAAATGTTGAGGCTTCTGAAGCACCTAACGCACTGTGCAGGCACCCAGCTTCCTACCTTGGGGGTCTTCTGAACGCACCTGGAAACCCTGGGCCCTAGAAGAAGGACACATGTAGTGCTGTCCTCTGAGGGCAGGACAGATCTGATGCCATAACTGGCTGACTCCCCCCCCCCCCCCCCCCCCCCCCCCCCACCGGGGTAGAACTCCCTGCCTTCTCCAGCCTGCCGGGTAGGGCTGCTTCCCCAGGGCTGGTTCCTGGCGGAGGTGGGTAGGGCTGAGCCATCTGTGGAAGCGCAGCGACCTCGCGTGGCAAAAAGATGCATGGCGGCAGCAAACGTTGTTCCAGGTCTCTATCCAAGGACCACCTCCCCCCACCAACCCACCCACCCACCTACACTGCAGGGTGTCTCCGCTCACTCCACTTCCAGAGACCATACTTCCAACCCTGGCAGTGGAACCCCCAGATGCTCATTTCTAGCCACAGTTCTCAGCCTCTCCCCACTCCTTCTCCGGACCCCCAAGATAGGCATCCCACCCTGACTTATATGTTGGTGCCCACTAGGGGCTGAGCACTGTGCAAGAAGTTTTAGAGGGATTTAATTTCATCCTTATTACCCTGGAAGAAAATTATTGCTATCTCCATGTTACAAATGTGGACAACGAGACTCAGAAGGTCTAAGTGGTATGCCCAAGGTCACTCAGCTATGAAGCAGCAAAGCCAGGATTCAAACCCAGGACTCCAGATCCTTCCGGGCGACAGCACTGTTCAGAGCACAGTGAGAACCCCATTCATGCAAAAGCAGGTGCGACAGATGGCATTTCTGAGACCACCAAAGCCAGCAACTGTCTGGGGTGATAGGGAAGGAAGGCTTCATTCCCGGGAGAGATGGCATTTGAGCTGGCTTTGCAGAATTCGAACTTTCCAAGGCAAAGAGGGCAGGGAGGGCATTTTGGGTGGTGGTAACAACACCAGCAAGCAAAGACACGGAGGTTGGCAGAATGGCTTGTGTTTGGCATACAGCAAGGAGCCCAGTTCGGCTGGAGTGTGGGATATAGGCGGGGAGCAGCATGAAATAAGTGGGACAGGCCGCCGAGGCCCTGGGGAAGTGTGAACTTGGAACTGAAGGTTTGAGCAGTGGTGGAGCTGTGTTGAGACTGACCATGTTGTGTGTTGGGGGGCGGTTAACACACAAGGGCCCTGAACGTCCTGTTCCCCTCCCAGGCCTTCTCTTCTTCAGACAAACTCAGCATAAGGAGTGGGATTGATGACCTTTGTGTCCCTCCCCACACCTCTCACAGAACTACTATCCAGGCCCTGGAAATTATGGGGTGAAGGGTAACCCATACACAAAGCTGGAGGAGAAAGCCCAGAACCGTTCTCAGGTCCTCATGTGCAGGATGACCAGCAGGCCACTCCTCTTGGCTCATCAGGTACCCCCTCCTCTGGCCAGGCCTTGCCCACCTTCCTGCATAGTCCTGGCGGAGGGGGGAGACTCCCAGGGCAGATGGAGAACTGAGACCCCGGGAGGCGGTGGGCCTGCTTCAGCAGTTCTCCCGTGGGACTGTCAGCCGGGTTCTGTTCTAGGGGAGTGGTCTGGCACCAGGCACCTACTCCTTCAAAAGTGGCATTGAGACCTACCTGGCACGATCCATGGGCACCCGCGGCCCCTACGACACTTTCTCCGGTGACCGAAGCAAGCCCCAGCCTTATGGACATTACTCTGTGCAGGTATGTACCCAGGCAGGGCACGGAGCACGGGTTCCCCTGCAGATGGCAGCCCTCGCTTATCAGCCCCAGGAGCACCACCACCCTGCGTGCCAAGCGCTGCAGGGCCCTCCCACACGCTGCTCACTTCACCCTCACAGCCTGTGTTCCATGAGGAAGCTGAGGCCAGCCACACAGCTGGTAAGGAGCAGAGCTGGGATTTGAACCCCAGCATGTCTGTCTGACTTCGCCTGCATGCACAGCAGAGGAGGAGCAGATGGTCACAACCCCCCGGGCTGCGTGGGAGACTGGCCACAAGGCCTGCAGGGACCTTGACGGCACGGGTCTGGGCGCCCTGTTATTTTGGAAGCACTTCCCAGGCATCGCAGGCCCGTCTCAGCTGGCTTTGTTAGTGGCAGCTAACAAGCCAGAGGCTGGGAGGCTGGGGAAACTGAGGTAGAATTTTAACTCGACGCCCCCCCCCCCCGCCCTTTTCCCATCATGCTCCTGTTGTGTGACCCATAGCACACTGGGCTTTGCTTTCTTCCTGTTCATAGCAATTGGAATTGACTAGTTGTCCAATTACCTGTTCATTTTCCCTCCACTGTGCATTCACCTGGTGTGTACTTTTGGGCCAGGTAATAGTCACGGGACTGACTGCCCCTGTGGCACTTATATTCCGGCGGAAAAGGACACACAGTCATAAGTGAAACCAACATAGAGTGTCAGCAGGTGGTGAGCGCTCAGAAGCCCTAGGATGGGGGTGGTGAAGGTAATATGTTGACATACTTTGGGCCAATTGGTATATAGCTGCGGAATGAGCCCTGCAGCCCGACTTCTCCCCAGGGCCTTCCGGACGTTGCCATGACCAGCCACTGAAGTGGTCCTGTCCAGCATAGCAGGGACCTTGGGACCCTCCACAGGCCCTACAGCCAACTCCTACTCTGATTGGCCCAGTGCCCAGGCCACATAATATTCTTTATTATCTAAAAAGTAATAGACTTTATCTTTAAGCTCATTTTTAGGTTCACAGCAAAACTGAGCAGAAAGTACAGAGTTCCTGTGCACCCTCTGTTCCCCCTCCATGCACACCCTCCCACCCACTGGCAACATCCCACCCCCAGAGGGGCACATTTGGTACAATTGATGAACCTAGACCGAGGTCATTATCAGCCAAAGTCCACGTTCACGTTAGGTTTCACTCTGGGCATTGTGTCTTCCACAGGTTTGGGTAAGCGTATCCACCGTTACGGTATCGCGCAGAGTAGTTTCGCAGCCCTGACAGTCGTCTGTGTTCCCCCATCGCGCTGGTGTTTAAATATTGGGACTGTTGCTCCCGCTGAGAACAGTGCGCGTGCAGTAAATGCCCTTGAAATGAGTGGGAAGGTGTAGGAATAGGCAAAAGCCCCAAGCTAAGCGGTGGGCGTGGCTTGGAGGTGAGGTTGCCAGGGACTCATCAGCCAAGTCCACGGCCAGGGCTGGTCAGCCAAGTCCACTGCCAGGGCTGCAGGAGGCAGGGTGGAGAGTAGTGCCTCCTGGTGTGACCACCCACTTTGCTGCGGAGGGTCCAGAGAGAGGGCTCTGATTTTCCTGGCATGATGCTTCTGTTTTTTTTGTTTTTTTTTTCTCTTTTCTGTTTCTCAGAAAAAAAAGCCCAGGGAACTGATGACTTTTACGACCTTCGTGGAAGAGCTTAACTCGCGGCACAATAAGAAGCGTGGGGTTTTTTCGAAAATTCCTCGCAACCCGGAAACCCCGACAGAGAGGATTTACTGGGCGACCCTTAGCCAGTGCCCCCGAAAACTAGTCAGTGTTCCCCCCATGGCCTGCCTGCCTTCTTCTCTGGGGAGGGGACTCTCGCGTGGGGTGGGCATGGGATGGGGCTGGCTCTTCGAGGGGAAAGCTCAGCCTGGGGTGTCGGACCCACCCGGTTGCCTGGTCGTGCACGCACCTGTCACTCTGAGTATGTCCCTCCCACTCTCCAAGGCTCAGTTTGCTTGCTTGTCCTCTGAGCATAACCAAGTGGCTTGAGAGTCAGAGGTTAAGGATTGGAGCTGGCAGGGTGGAGCCTGGCACCTGCCAAGTGCTCCTCTCTCCCCTGGGGAGAGGCCAAGGGGACACGGGGCAGGGCAGAGCGTGAATAAGGGGTCCACCCTGACAGAGGACTGCATACCTGCTCCCTCTGAGGGGATGGTGGGCTCCTCTCTGGGGTGTGGCAGCCAGTGACCCGGATAGGCTCTCGCCTCCCACACGCAGGGCCTGCTCCCCACCCCCCTGGAGAACTTCTAGGGGCTTGGGGAGGAGTGGGGTCTGGATGAATGAAACAGGGTGCTAACATTTCCTGAATGCCTGCTGTGGGCCAGGCACCTTCCAGCACCCCAAAGTAGGAGTTATCATTTGCATTTCACAAGAGGAAACTGAGGCCCAGAGATGGGAAGGGATGTGCCCAGGCTCCCCCAGCAAGTGTGAGAAGGAAGCCAGCTCGTTTAGCTCCAAAGTCTGTGTGGCTTCCGCTTTCCAGGTTGGAAAAGCCTCTGTGGACCTGCCAGACCCTGTGCGCCCTTGGGAACCTGGAAAGAGGTGTCAGGCTGAGGGGTGGGGTTAGAGTGGGTGACATCTGTTATGAGGGCACCACAGGGCCCCTCCACCCCCCGAGGATGGGCTCCTGGTGAGTCGGAAGGTGGCTGGGTAACCCCCTCACTGTTTTTGGCTCAAGGCCCAGGGCTGCGGGTGGTTGGGGAGGGCTGTCGGGAGCCCTCACCTGCCCTGGTCCCAGGCTGACCACTGCCAGACCCCTCCAGGTTTCAGCCTTCATTTCTAACCCCTAGGCCACGTCTGGTCCCGGTTCGTGGCTTCCTCCAAAGAAGGAATGCAAACACGTCAACCAGCCACCCTTCCTGCTGTCTTCCAAGCGGATGGGCATAAAGGCCTACCAGATGATTCCGGGAAGCTGGGTGAGTAGGTCTGGGGTGGGGGTTAAAAGGTGATGGCCAGGGAACCCTCTCCTGCCTCTACAGGCAGCACCAAGCCCTCGCACCCCCACACCTGGGAACTGATGCTCTGCGTGAGCCCGATCCCACCTCTTTCTCCCCAAGGGACAAACACTCATTCCTACCATCTTATTTCTCTAAGGCAGTGACTTCCAAACTTGAGTGGGCACGAGCAACCCCTTGGAGGGCTTGTCAAAGCACAGAATGCTGGGCGCCCTGCCGGAGCGTCTGAGTCTGATTCGGTAGCCTGTAGGGGAGCCTGGGTATTTGCATTTCTAACAAGTTCCCGGGTGATGCCGCTGCTGGTCTGGGGACCACACTTTGAGAACCACGTCACCCCAGAGCCAGCTCACGCTCTTATTTTCCCAGGGGGATGCTCCCTCCATCCTCTTTGTGTTTGTCTTAGGGCCTCAGGGAGCAGCTAGCGGACTTGGCCCCTTTCTCATCCTTGGCTGAGCAAGGACCCCTTCTGTCGCCCTCCCCCTCCCCCGAGGCAGCCATCCCCCACGTGTGTGATAGAGCTTTCAGTGTTCTTGTAAAACGGCTAATAAGTTCTTGGGTTTTGTGTGCAGGCCTTCTTAACTTATACAAATGGCAGTGGATATTGACCTCATTCTGTTTCTTACTCCTGCCCTTCAGTTTTCAAGTGCACATTTTTTTCAGGTTCTGATAAGCATACAGTAAAGTGCAGGAATCCTAAGTGGACGGCCCTGTGAATTGTCACAAAATGGGCTCATCCTTGTAACAAGTCCCCAGAGCATTGAAGAGCGCATTTCCAGCGCCCCAGGAGCCCCCTTGACACACACCTCCCTCCCCACCAGGTGGCCCCGTCTTGACTTCCAGTAGCGAGGGTTAGTTGTGCCTGGTTTTGAACAGCTGTTTATTTTTAAGTGCCTCCTGGTTTCCCGGGGGGGGGGGGGGGGGGGGGGACGTTCTGCTTGTAACTTACCTGCCTTCCCCCTGCACCTCCTCCCGCACCCCCACACCTGAGCTCTCCCTCCTCCACCCCACCTGCTCACCTCCCAGAGTGACGGCTTGGCCTCCACTGTGCCCACACCCTGTCATCCTGCCCGATTCTCAGAGAAACCTGCAGGTCAGCCCTCCACAAGCTGCTTTTTCTCACCCCATGCCTGTACTTCCTGCAGGGGAGAGGTCTTCACTTGGGGAGCCCAAATAAGGTGTTTAGGTAAGAGCCGGATGCTGCTAGCACGGGGCTGGCCACTGCAGAGTGGGAGGAGCTGAGGTGACATCCGTCTGGGTCCCAGGGCTTGAGCTCGCCCTGCCCCGGGACAGGAGGTCCACCACCGGGAGCTTGCTCCCCCTCGAGACGGGCCTTTCCCTCATGGGCAGCAAGTTCAGCTGCACATCCCACTGTGTGTGGCCCCTGGTATCTCTCTCGAGCCACCCTTGGCACTGTTACGCCACAGGTAACTGACCAGCCATTGGAACTGACCAGGTTCCTGACCAGCCATTCTCCTGCCCTCACTGCTCACCTCTGGGCAGGTTACCTTTCCTCTCCTCCTCTTGGAACCTCTCTGTTGCCGCCTCTCGTATCTAGGACATAGGTTTCTGGGTGGGATGGTGTGTTAGCTTCCCACGGCCTCGCCAACAACCAGGCGGCTTCAAACAACAGCAGTTTATCCTGAAACGGTTCTGGAGGCCGGAGGTCCAAAGTCCAGGTGCCAGCAGGGCCGTTCCCTCTGAAACCTGCAGGGGAGAATCCTTCCTGGCCTCTTTCTAGTTTCCGGTGCTGGCCGGCAGTTTTTGGAGTTCCTGGGCATGTGAATGCGTCACTCCCTTCCACCGCTGTCATTGACGTCACTGCCACAGGGCTGTCTTTTCCCGTGGGTCTCTTCTAGAAGGACACCGGTCTCATTGGGTTAAGGGCCCACCCTACTCATGTGGGGACCTCATCCTTACCAATGACATCAGCAGCCATTTCCAGATAAGGTCACCCCCCGAGGTCCCGGGGGTTGGACTTCTACATGTCCCTTTGGAAGACGCAGTTCAACCCCTAACAGATGGAGTAGGGAGCAGCGTGGGGAGAGCCGGGAGGCCCGAGTTCTCATGTCCCACCATCCTCTCCTTGCTGCAGAACCCCGTAGGTGTGGGCCGCTACCTCAACACCTGGCTGATGGAGACGAAGGACCAACGGCAGCGGTATCGGTCCCTGTACCTGGGTGGATCCAAGCGCTACCCCTCTGACCCGGCCTGGGACAGGATCATGCAGTGAGTCGGAGGGGGAAGGGCTTACTCTGGGGTGGGCTGGGATGCCCTCCTCCCCTGCCCCCCACCTTGTGCTTGCTTCCCATGGGAACACAGCTGCTGCCCCTGGTGCCAGCCAAACAGCGAGGCAGTGGAGAGAGTTCAGATCCTGACCCTGCCTGGCTGCCGGGCTGTGTGAGGCGGGGCGCATCCCTTAACCTCTCTGAGCCTTGGTTCCCTCAACTGTCAGATGAGCGGAGGGCTGTGAAGCCCCAGATGAGATACTCTAACGCTCCTGGTGAGGAAAAGGGACTCGATGCTAACTCCCCCACTCACAACCCACACCAGCTAGGCGCTGCCTTGGGTGGCTTCACCACACGGAATCTCAGTTTCTTGGTGTTCACGACGGGCTTGATAAAACTGGTTTCCGGAAGCCGTTGTGAAGCCGAAGGAAAAACGGTGCACGAAGTGCCACGGCTAACTGTAAAGCAGTGCGCAAATGCTAGCTGCTGCCTTATTTATTGACCTAAGAGGCCATCGGTTGCAGCGTGATCTCATTTTCAGAAATGTCAAAAGGCGAACAAACGCGCACTCTAGATTATTTTGTTGTTGGAAAACCCGGTGAGGGCACGAGGACCCGATTGCTCAGGGAAGACCGACTTTTAAATGCTTATTTTTATCAACATAGTCCCGTCGTGTCTGCCTCCTTGATTTATGCTCTTGGTTTGTGTCGGGTGGGGGGGCGGGGAGGGGGCTTTTTAAGAAAAGGGGATGAGCGGTAACGTTTCTGATAGACCACATGCCTGAAAAAAAATTTTGCTTCCTACCTGCACAACTGATCACCAGTTTGGCTGGAGATAAGATTTTAGGTTGGGAACATTTCGCCCTCGGAATGTTGAAGACTTTGCTCAGTCGTCTTTGAGCTTCAGGCATGGTTGAGAATTCCTGTGCCGTTCTGGTTTTCTGCCTTTTCCATGCAATCTGCACCTGCCTCTCTGGAAGCTTTGAGGATCTTCCCTTTGTCCTTTGTGTGCTGAAACTTCATGGTGAGATTTAGTCTTAAATTGTCCTAATGTGAATCTATTTTCACCCATAGTTTTGGGTACCTACCGGGTTCTTTCCATCTGGGACAATTATCTGGGGAAAATCACTTGCATTTGTGTCTTTGGGAATTTCCTCTCTTAGGAAGGGGAGATATCCTGGTGTGATGCTCTGTTTTTGTCATGCTTTTTTGTGCGTTTTTTTTTTT